TTTTTTCTTTTCTTTCATTAAAGGGTAATTATTTTCTTTTGTTTAAAAAATAAATGTTAATAACTAGAGAGGGGGACGATGTAGGTTTTTTTGTTTTTTGTAAATTTTAACTGTAAGATTTGTAAAAAATGTGTGTGTATGTGTGTCAATAAATTTTAAAAAAATATATATTATATTTTATATGAAAGATATATATACATATTATGTATATATACATAACAAAACGAAACTTAGACAAAAACAACAACAACGACGACGATGACGAAGTCAAACTATGATAGATAATCGCCTAAATTACTATATATAACACATGAAGGATTAAAGGAGGGGAATTCCCCTCAGAGAGTAACAGAGAAACTTGCAGAACCTTTGGCATATCCTTATTCCAATTAACAATCTCTTTTAAAGAATAATGGAAAATATTTAACAATTATATCTAAAAAATGGAAACTCAAGAAATTTATGTTTTATTTTTAGGCTGAGAAAAGTTTTTTTGATCACCTTAAAGGGATCATTGAAGGTCTTATTTCAATCTCCTTTCAGAAGAATTCCATCTGCTTCGTGAAAAATTTCTATGGATAACAAAAAAAACTTGCTGAGACTTTATAGGCTGAGGCTGATGAACTTTTATTTTATTTTAATAACGGAAGACCCGCCGAAGGAATTTTATATACAGAATATCTCTCAAGGGCGGAAGGTAGATCAGCTGAAGGCCCACTTTCTCTAAAAAAAATCCTCCCTGAGAGTTTATAGCTCTATACAACCTGTTGATGGTCTTCTTTATATATGTGTATAGACCTCTTCCAGGGGTATTTTATTGAATTTCATTCCCCCAAAAGATTTTCGAATTGTTGGACTTGGCTTCAATCGGAAATATAATTTCCCTGAATATTGAATATTGTATAAAAATAATAGCACCAAGAATTTTCCTATTTGCAAGTGACGTCTATTTTTGTCTGTCTAGTTCTCATAGTTATTAAAAAGAGCCTCTAAAGGTATTTAAAAGCAACTCCCACCAAACGGTATTCAAAGAGGTCTCCCCAAAGAACTATTAAAAAGCTTCTTCTAAATGTTATGAAAAATACTTAAGTCTTTTAGAACATTTTACAATTTTATCCAAAAAATGGAAACTCAAGAAATTTATGTTTTATTTTTAGGCTGAGAAAGATCATTGAAGGTCTCTTTTCAATCTCCTTCCAGAAAAATTTCTATGGATAAAAACAATTTAATGGGCTTCTTTAAAGAAATATGTCCTCAATATGTTCTTCCGGAGGTCCTTCTACAGCCAAAAATCTCACACTTTTTTCCACAGATTTAATATAAAATATGGCTAACAGATGTTCCTCAGATAAGAGACCTGCCACAGTCTTCTTTTTATGTGTGACATTTCGAACAAAGGAGTTGCCAAATCGAAACAAAATTGAACATGTATTCATAACAGAGATGAAAGTTTCCAAATCACTTAACTTTTTTCTGTTTATACCACGCTTTTTGTGCTGGGCTAACAACTTTCCGAACTGCCCGCGTATCTTTCAAAATCGTAATGATAACCTTATGAATAAACCTTGATTAAGACGACCAGGATCAAATAATAAGGTCGTCCGATAAGGCCAGATGATTTCACCCGAGCTGTCAAAATGCTTTCGATTTTGACTAAATTGTGTGAAAACGTAAAAAAATAAATAAAAAAGAATAAATAGATTACATTTTTTTAGCGGTGATAACTACACAAGGCTCCTCCGCTTCTTGAAATTGTTATTCGAATAAAAAAACAGCCCCACTATAACATTTTATGGCTATACAATTCACTTCTTTGTTACTCTCTCGGGGGGAGTTCTCCTCCTTTCAGGTCATGTGTTATGTTATGAATGCGCTTGATTTATTGATTGGTTGGGCTTATGTTCCAAATAATAATGAAATGAAAAACTAAAGAACAAATTCAAATTTGTTAATATGTGTGTATAAAAAATAAGAAAATTTAAAACAAATATGAAACAATAAACCTCTCCTCTCTCGCTCTCTTGCCGTCCAACAGGCGGCCTTACATCATCGTCATCATCATTCCAAGGCAAAGGAGATAACAAACAAATGAGTAATGGCGGTTAATTTTCAATTTTAATTTTTGGGGAAAATCTGAGTGGGAGAGGAAAGTGTTATTGTGCTGTGCTACCTTTGGAGTACGAATTCTTACCATTTTGAGATACCTTTGCTCTTTTTTAATTTTTTAGAAAATGCTTGATTGCCTGCTTGCTGTGTGTGTGTTCTGGCTGTCTGTTTCTTGTAGCAGTAAAAAATTCGCTTGCTCTCACTTTTTTGAAGAAGTAGTAACAACGGTGCCACATTCTCTCATTCTTTTTTTTTTATTGAGGTGGTGTTATTGTTTCTTTGAATTTAGAAAGGTTTTTCTACTATTCCATATTTTGATTTTCTTGGGGTATATTGATTTCATATTTTATAACTTGTGCTGTATTTGTTCCCTGTAATACTTGCACGTGAACGGCCTGATTACCAATCATAACTTCTCTTGTACTCATTTGTTGCTGTTGTTGTTGTTGCTGCTGAGAATTTTGTTGTTGCTGCTGCTGTTGTTGTTGAGCCAATTGCTGTTGTGCCTGTTGTTGCTGCTGCTGTTGCTGTTGTTGTTGTTGCTGCTGTTGCACATGTTGTTGTACGGCGTTGGGATCCTGTCGAAGAAGAAAATCAAGCTGCTTGTATTGTTGTAGTCAACAAGACTTTGCGTCTCATTTTTTTTTTTACAAAAAAAATTAATAAATTCATAATGAAGAAAAATGAAGGATAAAACAGATAATTTTGACAAAAAGAAGAAGAAAAAACAACAAATTCAAATAAGAGATATAGATGATGGAAACGGGAAAATGGTGTGTGAAAGAGACAGAGGGAGATATAGAGGAAGTAATGGGAGTATGAAAATTGTATTAAAGGATAACAGAAAAATGTACGAAAAGATAAAGAAAAATAGTTTTTTGGTGATTAATTTTAAAAAAATGTAAATGTGGTTGTGTTGTGTGTGCAGGTAGGTGTATGTGTGTGGTGTAATAATTTTCAGATATAAAAAAAAATTGTAAATTGTGAGGAAATATTCTGTAATATTCACTAACAAGAACAGCGATTTAATATTACGCATCAAAATAATTTGAAATTTATTTACGATATTATTTTCATGTAGAAAATTGAATACAAAACCGAGCGAATTAGAAAAAAATAGAACATCCCTACTCCCCCAATTATGAGGTGGAAATCAAAATACCCAATTTCAGTCTGTATGCTTTTTTTGGGCCTATGTGATAAAGTATTACCAAATTCCTAACACTTCAGATGGATAATGCGGCAAAAACCACAAAAATATTTTTTTTTATATTAGGCAGAATATCTATGTGGGAGCTTAGTTGCTTAGTTACAGTATTTTCGTTTAGAAAATTCGAAGAAAAAATTTCTATAATGCCAAAATATGGACACTTGATTGGACAATTACATTTGTTGGGTTCCCGGACATAGTAACATAGATGGGAATGAAAAATAGGTGACGAGCTGGCTCGAGGGGGTTCGCCGGCGTTTAGGGATTTGTGCAACCACCTATTGACAATTTTATGGGCAAATTTCGAAGAGCTACAACTACGTGGGAGCCAATAATAGACGATCAGCGGAACCTGGATGTAGGATTTCAAAAACTATGCGTTCTCACGCCGTAGAGCTACTTCGCCTCTATCTCAGAGTATGAGAGAGAAAGAGAGACAAATGTCTCCGAGTGATACGGCTGCTAAAGGCGGCAGTAGATCCTTTAACCTAACTTATGGAGCGGTAACTTTATGTCGGGGCATACCCAAAGATTAACCGATAATATTCGTAATTATTTTTTTATCCAATGATAACCTAACCTGTTGAATTAGAGACTGCTGTTCGGTTGGAAATCTTATCTGAAATAGTTAAAATGCCAACAATTGGGGGTAACTTTATATGGGAAGCATACTCAACGATAAACCGATGTTGATAAAGGCAGATTTGCTACCCAATGTCAATCCTAAATATTAAACTACTTTCATTTCGGTTCGAAACTTGCCTAAAAATTCCGAAAATTGGTAGGTAGGTTATATGGAGGATATACCCGAAAGTGAACCAATATTGATTATATTTGATTGGGGTTATACATGAAAAGGTGGACCGATATGGGGCCCATACTTGAAGGTGTGCATAAATGTGGACTATACCTGTAAGTGTATCCATATAAATTATTTTTTGGAAGGCAGATTTTCTAAACAAGAAGAACACAAAATATCAAACAGCCAATTCGTTTAGAAAGAGTTTTCTATAGTAAAACTTTAATTCATATAGGAAAACTTCAATTCAGCCGGGTCAATACGTGTATGCCTACCTACGTAGTAAATTTTCGAACTTGTCAGAATTGAATATGAATATAGTATATATAGACGACGTTCTCAATCGGATACACATTTCTTCTATTCCAAACCTGTTTAAATCTAAAGAACTGTGTAAATGTGTATTGTAATAAAAGTAATTTCAAAAAATAAAACCAACACCATATTTTAGAAAATCGAATAACATTCTAGAATCAAACAATAAATTAATAACAAAAAATAACAATAACAACAAAAATACCCCCTACATTATACAAAGAAGACAACACAAAAAAATGAATGGGATTGTTGAGAAGGAAAACTAAATGGTGTTTGTATATTGTTTGGGATCGGGGGAATATGTTAAAGAAGGGAGATCGATTATGTGTATATGTGTGAGTGTAGACTTATTAACAAAAACAATATCTTATTATAACAAAAAACAATCTCCAATCAATTTCTTTGTTCTTAAGGGATGTGTGTGGTGGGTTGGGGGCGGGGAGAAAAAGTTGGGATTTTTTCTAATATAACAATCATCATAAATGTGTGTGGTGGGTGGGTGGTTTGGTGGTGGATGGGGGAAAAATTTTGTTTTTTATCTTGCGAAAAAAACAGAAGTCAAAAGAAAATTATAATTATTAATTATTTGGTAAATCATCTTCAACACTTACGTTGCACAACTACAACCATTGATTTATTTGGAAAGATTTAAACTCATATTTAGAGAGTTTGGTTTGTTTTTGTTTGAGAGAATGATTGTGAGGAGTGAGAGGTTCAACACACCTGTTGCTGTGTAATGGGTGGTTTCGTTTCCAAATGCTGACGCTGATGTAGCATTAGATGATTCTTCTGGAAGAAGGCTTTGCCACATTCGCAGACGTGTGTGCGCACCGTACAGCCGCCGTTCGGATGTCGGCGATTGTGTTGCATTAAGCCATGTTTGGCGGCAAAACCTTTACCACAGCTGGCACAGAAATGAGACTTGGGTTTGGTGGGTGTTTGCTGTTGCTGTTGTTGCTGCTGTTGTTGTTGTGGTTGTTGCTGTTGTTGTTGCTGCTGCTGAGGATGACCGGCAGGATTGCCGTTTTGTAAATGTTGCTGTTGTTGTTGTTGCTGCTGCTGATGATGCGCCTGCAATGGCATTGTGGTAACTAAACTTTGCGGATGAGTCGTTGCGGCGGCCTGCACCAGTGTTGTCTGTTGAACAAGTTGACCCGTTGATGATATGATTTGAACTGGCATTTGGTTTTGGGCTATGATATTGGGATTTGCTGATACCACGGTTGCTGTTCCAGGATTAAGACTGCCCGTGCTAAGGAGATGGGTTGGCAAGGCAGCGGTTAAAGCACACAAATCGGTCATAAGACTTTTATCGCCGGTATGTAAACGCTGGTGAAGGGCTAAAGCTTCGCGACTATTAAAGGCACATCCGCATTCCCTGTAAACGATATAGAAGAAGACATGGATATTAATATGTTAAGGGACTTTTTGATCAAAAGCTAGTGCTGATGTTGTTGTTGTTGTTGATAACTTACCGGCAACCAAATTGTGGCCTATTTGCATCATTGGTTACGGTTAGCAATGCTGAATTGTTGGGATTACTAACAACGGTTACGGTTTGTGGGTGACTATTTTGCACCTGATGCTGCTGTTGTTGTTGCTGCTGTTGCTGGTGTGTAGTTTGGGCTTGTGTTTGGTGTATTTGCTAGGAAGAGAAAAAGAAAGAAAATTGTATAAATATCATAATAATATATATGACTCTCGATAACTTGGAAATCCAGAAGAAAGTTTATATCACGAAGAATTTCAAATTATTTTCAAGGGATAAGAAAAATAATTTAAAAAATTCTCGAGAGATTTAAAATATGTAGAATCATAAAGTACAGATTTTCCAATATTGGTATTCAGATTGTTTCGTTTCGACTTACTTGTATAGTTTGCGTTTGTTGTTGAGAGGTTATTGCAGCGTTATTGGAGGGCACCGATGCTGTATTTGATGAATTTGGATTGACACCGCCATGTACACTGCGTATGTGCTGATTTAAATCGGGTCGTGTCATAAATCCTTCACCACAACTAATGCATGGATGTGGTTGATCACCAGTATGAACGCTACAAAAAAATATTGGAAAGGGAAAATAAATTATTATTAGTAAATACACTTTTAAAATAAATTATATATTGAAAGAAGTAAAAATATTTAAATTCAAATCCTAATTCTTCTAATCTCAAAATAAAAGTGGAGAAGGTTCTGAATTGTGAATAGCTTTTAATCCTTAAACATGCAAAAAAAATAAATGAGTCTAACTTGTCGTGACCGAAAGATAAATTTAATCAACATGTCGACTTTATCGCCCTGCAGTCCATGAAGGACCTAGCCAAGGCGTGAATTTTTTAAACATTATTTTTAAGAAACCAACCTAGCCAATACGTGGATTTTTTAAAAATAATTTTTAAGAAACCAACCTGGCCAAGGCGTGGTTTTTTTAAAAATTATTTTTATAAAACCAAACTAGCCAAGGCGTGGATTTTTTAAAAATTATTTTTTAAGAAACCAAACTAACCAAGACATGGATTTTTTAAAAATTATTTTTTAAGAAACCAAACTAACCAAGGCATGGATTTTTTAAAAATTATTTTTAGGAACCCTATCCAAGGTTTACCGGATTTTTTTCTGTTGTTGTTGTTGCATCAACAGAATACATTATATGAGCTATAGATTGTCTGATCCTGGTTCCTCTATCTCAGAATTCAAAAATGATCCACGGCAGTCATGAGGAGACACAATGTTGCAGTTCTCAGGGCAGCATTCTGACAGGTCTGGATATTCTTCCACTTCGTAAACTACACTGGCGCCGCATAGCTTACTAATGACCGACCTGCCTAATTCTTTAGAAGAGGTCAACAAGATTTCTTTGTCAGTGCCCCAAGTGCTGCTAGCTAGCGACTTGAGTAGCTTGTTCCTACTTCTCAGCTTATCGCATAAAGCAGTCATTACCTAGGACGGAATGCTACAAATCAGGGTGGGCATTGAAATCCCCTAGTACTATATTCCATGTATGGGTCACTAGAGTCTAGCTCAAGCGAAATAGGTCTTTACTGGACAGAATGATGTAATAAGAATGCTAGTCTCCGCGTCTGGTAGGATCCTTCCGCACAAAGCTGCAAGCTACAGTTCTCAGTTAGCTTGGTTTCCTGGATCGCACCGACCCTCATTCTACTTCGACTCATAAACTCTAAAATTTCGCTGATTTTGTAGCGAAGACAATCGCAGTTGAACTGCAATAACGATGCATTTTCTAGGCGCGGAACAGCAATATATGGTGTTAAATGCGGGGGTGTCTCGTACTCGGACGATGACTATTCAGATGACGAATCGGACGACGACTCCTTAGACACACTGGGAGACGTGCTATCACAGCATGATGCGACATAACTCCTTTTGCAGTACTCCAGGATCCTGTTCAGACCAGAGCAACCTCGAAAATGCACCCATTCTCCATATTAATTGCATCTCACTGAGATTGATCTATGATGGATGCGGTTTCTGCAGACACTACAGAACCAAGGCCCGGGGTTATTTTCAATTACGGCACGTACCAGTAGAGTTCGGAGCAGGCATTCCCGGATATAATGCCGCTCCCATGACAAAAATGACGCCCACGAACATGTATTTGTTGAGGTGACAGCCTCTGAACATAGAACCAGCCGCCGTGGGATTGTCAGCAATATGTCGTGTTAGCGTTGCGTGTTTTGCCCACGGCTCATTTTGATTAAGTAATAATTTATAAGTAATAATAAGCTATAACATTTGCTGATGCTGGGGACTACCTATACTATTCTTATGTAGTTGGTGTCGATCTTAATCCGATAAAACACTCATCGGTTGTTTTTATATATCAACTTACCGCATATGTGCCACCAATGTACGCTTTTGTAAAAATTCCTTGCCACATACCGTACACGAATGCGGTACCTTGCCATGTATGCGAGCATGATTGACCAATTGAAATTTTCGAGGAAATGTTACACCGCAATCCTGACACACAAAGGGATTAACAGAACCATGGAAACTGCAAAAAAAAAATAAAATATTTTTTTTATTAAAAATAAATTAAATTAACATCACAATCAATTCAAATGAAACGCTTACCGTGAATGCATAATAAGATGATTTTCCTGGGCAAAACTTTCGCCACATTCTTCACACACATACGGCCGTTCGCCGGCATGGAATTTACTATGTGTCACCAGATGACGTTTGAGGGGAAATGTACGACCACATTCCTGGCAAATAAACGGCCGATCACGCGAATGGACACGTGAATGTGTTAACAAATGATGTTTCAGTGTAAAACTCTTCTTGCACTCTGTACACTGGTAGGGGCGATCGGTGGAGTGTAACAGTAAATGGGTGTTTAAGCAGTGTTTGTGGGCGAAACTTTTGCCGCAATGTGTACAAACGTGCGGACGTTCGCCTATCGAAAACATTTCAAAACAAAAAATGCGGGTTGGCACAAAAAAAAAATAGAAGAAGAAAGACAATATTTAGTAAAACAATTGAAATGCTTAAACGGGTGTGATGGCATATGGGAACCTAGGCGTTCAGGCTTAAAATGATTTCTTTTGAAAAACGATAAAACAAAACGAAGTAATTAACCGGTGGTTATTTAAAAAACAAAAATAATATACAATAAATAATAATTTGTTATATTTTACAAGAGAGAAAATTATTAAGGAATCTACATCATTTTGGCTCTAAATTAATTTTTAAGTTTCTGAACATTTTCATTATTTTTTCTTTGCAATTTTTCACTACAAGGATTACTTTGGATTTTTTTTTTTTTTTGAGAGGGAGTGTTTTTTATTTTATTTTATTCTTTGAGGTGCTCTATAACTCACCTGTATGCACTCTAGCATGAGTGGTTAAATGATGTTTCAGTAAAAATGATTTACCGCACTCCTCACAACTGTAAGGGCGCTCCTTCTTTATTGTGGTATCGTTCTACAGGAACACAAAAATAAACGAATCAGAAACAGAAAATAGAATACAAATAAATGGAAAAAATTAGTTACCATATTTTTTTGAATTATAAAAACAAATTAAATAAAATGAAAATATAAATAAATTCAATAATTACACCATATAATGTGGGAGCATTGTTTTTTTTTTTTTCAAAAATCTAAGTCGCATAATTGAATAGAAACCAGCAAGATAGATTTACACTTGAATTTAGAATATAAGTGGTTCTCCGCAGTTAAAATTGTGGCCTATCATATTCGCCTAAAAGTTTACCGGCTTACAGGAAGCCAGGGAAACTACAGAATATAGATTTCTTTTCCCATTCAGTCTGGAGCCTTAAAGAGATACATTATATCTTAATTCCAGACTTCAGCTAGCCTATAAAGATTACAGTCATTCGTTCGCATATTGCCGTCTAAAAAACTTCAGTCTTCAGTTCGCCTATAAAAACTCTAGCATTTAGTTAGTTGGAGCCTGGTTAGTTCAAAAAAGGCGTCAGATCCGTCTTTAAAGACATCAGCCTACAGTACCCTTTAATAACGCCAGCCTTTACCGTGAATATAAAGACTGACTCCAGCTTTCAGCAATCATATAAAGAACCCAATCTTCAGGCTCCCTTATAAAAAACTCTAGTCAAATAGTCTATAAAGACGCCACCATTCAGTTCGCCTAGGAAAACTTCTTTCAGATCGTTAAAAATTTCTCCTTTCACCTCGTCTTAAAAGAGAGCCTTTTACGCGCGTGGAAAGGCTGCTTTCATTTCGTCTAGAAACACTTATTGAGATTTAAAAAATTAAATGAGATTGTCAAGAGAAACATAATTTGGAAGGAAGCTCGTCCATGAAGGTTCCATTTGGTTCGCGTAGATAGACTGACTTCAGTAATACTTGTAACTGGAACTTCGTATGTGTGAAGCAGCGAATTATATGTTGTTGTTATTTTTGTAGCAACAGAATACATGATATGGGTGATGGATTGTCTGGTCCTGGTTTCTATATCTCCAAATTCAAAAATGTTGGAACTAGAATTGGTTGTGTCCATAGTGAATTCGGCGATAGGTGAGTCGGCTTAACTGGGCAGTTGAAGTGATGCAACGTGTCGTGTGGTCCCAGTCCTTATGCAGGATATGTGTTAGGTGGTATCGAGCCGTTAATTATTGCCAATATGAATTGAGGCAGTTGCACCATCCTGATCATAGTTGAGAAAATACTACTCGTGGCTGTCGGGGCTGCTGGATGGGGGTGGTCTCCGATTGTTGTATTCACTCTATATGGCTCTACTGCCTGAGCGACTACGTCTCCCGACGATAACACCCAAGGAAAGACTGCATCGACAACATATAATTGTGTCGATGGACGGGTAAGGTCTTCGTATCCTCATGAAGATGATCCACGGGAATCATGAGGAGACACCATGTTTCAGTTCTCAGGGCAGCATTCTGACAGTTCTGGATATTCTTCCACTTCGTGAACCACACTGGCGCCGCATAGCTTACTATTGTCAACAAGATTTCTTTATCAGTGCCCCAAGTGCTGCTAGCTAGCAACTTGAGGAGCTTGTTCCTACTTCTCTGCTTATCGCATAAAGCAGTGGCTTCCGTAGACGACTTGAAAAGGCTATCGAACTTTACTCCCCGTATGTTGGGGTAGTTATTGGTCCAATTTGTCTTCTCTATATCATCAAACAGCTTGGCGTGGTCGAAGGCCTTCGTAGGTTAAGGACCACCATAATTGTTCGCTTGCACGGCCTGTTATGGTTTAGTCCTATGCTAATATTAGTGGAAATGGCGTGTAATGCGGTTGTTGTGCTGGGCATCTTACGAACTCCATGCTGATGTTTGGCGACTGGAACACATTTTCGGATTTCTATTAGTTATTCTGGCAATTTGTGGGTTTGTAATCCATCAAAACTTTGAAGACTACAGGTGTTACTCGTTTTCGTTTCATAAATTTCATTACTTCGTGGACTTTTTCTTCAAGCCCATCCCAATTGAATGAGAAAAATGAGACATTATCCGGAGCAATATGTAGTGTTAAAGATCACGATACAGACTGATTTTTCGAACGCTAATATGGGTTCAACTACTGCGCAATACTCCTGTACCCTTAAAGCCATTATCCTAATCAGTTTCGTACATTCAGATTTTGGTCTGGAGGTTCTCCCTTATATACTTGTATCTCCCTTCTCATCCTGACACGGGTCTTTCAGGGGAAATCTATCGGCAATACAACTCTTTCGGATATGTCGTAAAATATTTTATTGTCAATAATATATTTTTCATGTATGGGGAGCCATGTTAGATGTCGAATATTAAAGGTCCTCCCAAATAAAAAAAAAATCCGACGATTTCTTTAATTCTTACAATAGTTAAAAGATATTCCTCTCGTCGATTATGTTAAAAGATATTCCTCTTGTCGATTATGCTATGATAGAACACTTCTTCAAATGTTCATTCTAAACAAAATATTCAATTTAATTTTCATTCAAGTATTTTAAAAAAATACTTAAAATCCACCACGATACCCAAATTATGCGGGTAAGATTATGATTAAAGGTTTCTTTTTTTTTAATTCAAGCTACCCACATTACTCACAACAATACCATATACAGTGTAATCAATGAATTTTCTTTGAATTAAGACGCGAACTTACATCACTAAAATGCATTGTTTCTTGTAATTCGGTTTTCGGTGATAGTTCCAATGTACCCGGTTCCAATTTTAGATTTGGTGTGTCACCTTGTGATTCATCATTTTCTTCCAGACCTTGTATAACTTTCTGTACTTGCACTGAAATACCAGGCAAAATGTCACCTAACATTGCATGGCCAATATTTGTTTAAAAAGTAGTTAACGGAAAATGAAACGTAACGAAACGAAACGAAAAAAGAAAGAAAATAAAAACAAAAAATACAAATTAAAATTTCAAATGATAATAGCACAACATAAAAAAAGAAAAATAATAAACTACAATAATAAATTATACAAAATACTAAAATACAAATAAGTATTACATACATAAATACTACTAAAGACTTATACATAACAAATAAAGTATTGTTATATAATATAAATAATAAATCAATAAAATAAATAAAAAACGATTTCAGGTTTAAGCCTTACTTGCTGAGGTCGCATGACCATCATTCGCTGTTATCGACTGAGGATGTGAAGCGGCCAAGGCACGCTTCATTAAAATCTCATTGCACTCCTCGGCCGTTAGGTGCAATGGACCAATAGGGCTAAAATGTGTTTTACCCGCTGATGTTAATATCGTTTGTGCTTTCGAGTCCACAATACCGTTACTGAGATGTGTTTGATCGGTTTGATCCACCAAGAGATCTGGAAAATAAAATGAATTCATTATATAATATATATATTTTTAGATAAAATTGGGTTTTAGTCTACTCACAATTTTTGTCACAATTTAAGCTGACCACTTGCTGATCGGGTTTCTTAACAACGGTTGAATTACCACTTGTTATTACTCTGCAAAAAATAGGTTGAGAAATGCATTAGAAAAATTAACCAATTGTTAAGGTTGAAAAGTATTATTACCCGTACCTTTGTCCACCCGGCGAAAACGGGTCATTGACAAACACCATACGCCGGACAAGGCCTTTACTGGGCGCTAGGCCAGCTTTTACATCTTTTTGAACTGTTAACGATCCATCTGTTGATAACAAATATGGCATCTGAAATAAAAAGAAAACAAAAGATTATCTTCTATTTTTTTTTAAGATAAATAGATCTAAATTTAACCAAAAAATATAAATAATAATTATTTTGCTTATTTTAAAAAATATTTTTCCTTCAGGATATCTGAGAGAGGTTATTGCTGGACCTATATAGGTATGTATTATATTCATAAATATGAAACAATACTCTTTTGCTCAACATATCCAATCTCAATTGGACAAAAATTGAAATACATATTTTTGAAATTTTCAAAAAAAATATCCTATAAAAAATGTCCGGAAGTCTCTATTATTTTCCTTTACAGTGCAAACAGTCCTTTACTCAAGTTTATTTGTACATCCTCTTGGTCAGGTAGGAATAAAATAACCGCTCTATGTCAACTTAATGATTAATTATTATAAATAGATTTCACGTTAATTGACGAAACCTTCCAAAACTCTTGGCCAGATGGCATTTTAGTGCTAATGTTAAAGAAGCATGATGCAACAGGTTTGTGGTATCTGATCAAAATTCTGCACTTATTAGTTTCTTGATTGATAATTTCAGATATTTGGAACCTGAAACACCATTTATCTTCTTTGGCCCGTGTTCAAGAAATTGTGATCCCTTGAGCTTCCGTCCCTGAAAAGGCATTCTTGCTACCCAGGAACAGGGTATTGAGGGTAGCATTGTGGAGACAGCCTGTATTCAATTTAAGGCATTTGATATCATCGATCATCATATGCTTATATGCAACATCGCAAATTTCAGCCTTCCAAATGATCTAAAGCAATGGTTTGGGAATTAGCTTAACGTTCTTGTTATATACGGGGAGCCCTTGTGAAACTTTGTATCAGCATTGGATCCCTTCCATCTTTTCCATCATTTTATCCTTCATATGACTTCTCGCTTTCCAAGTGATCTAGAGCATTGGCCTGTGTTGTCCTATATGACATTTTGTTCAACATTTATCATGCCAAACTACATGTTTGTTGTATTTTTTATATTAATCTGGTACTGAGTAAGTCGTATTGAGCTGCAGCGAATACGGTGGCTAGGCCTTGTTGTGCGAATGAATAAGAATGCCCCAGCACAAAAGGCATATAAAAGCGAGCCTACTGATGGTTCACGCAGAAGGGGAAGGCCACGAATTAGATGGAAAGACCAAGTAGAAGACAACATCTGGAACGTGGTCTTTCAAATTGGAGATGCGCAGAAGACCGACGCGCTTGGAAATCTTTTTTAAGCCAAGTAAGTAATCTTGTTCTGATTCCTCTGTTTCCAGGTTCAGGAAGGTTGCAATCTGGATCAGCTGCGTCAAAAGCGATTCTGGTGGCAAATGAGTGGGTTTAGCAGGACCGTTGAAGAAATGCAGCGTATCGTGAGTTCAAAGTCCACAAACAGGGCATGTGTTTGGTATTGTGCTGTCAATCCGGGCCCAATGCGAAATGAGGCGGCTGTACCATCCTGATCTTAATTAAGCTAAAACCACTATCGTTTGTCTAGTCTGCTGTCTTTCTATATAGGTTGTGGGTGGACTCCAAGAAGTGCCTTGGTCCATTGCCTCGGTCACTGCTTTCGTGTGAATGCTGGTAATTCGTGCTCAATAAGCTTGTTGATCTAGGGTTTCCTTTTTATACCGTTGGACCTCTTTCCCCTCTCTCTCTCTCTATAGATCATGACTGAGAGACCTACATCCATCCATAAGGTGATGGCATGGATGATTCCGACGATAACTCCCAAACAGGTACTGCATCGACAACATTCTGTTGTGACGATTTACAGGTAAGACCATTGTCTACTCATGTAAATGGTCCACTGGTGTCATAAAGAGACACCCTGTTACAATTATTAGGGCGGTATTCTGACAGGTTTGAATGTTCTTACACTGCGTATCGCATAGCTTACCACCGACCGACCTATTGCTTTGTAAAAGCTCAACAAGGTATCTTTATGAGCACTCCAAGAGCTGCCGGCAAGATACTTGAACACCTTGTTCCTGCTTCTCATCTTATCGCAAATAACGCCACAAGAAGTGATCTCGTTCGCAGATGATTTTACAATCACCACTTCTACTGTTAATATTAAAAACGTAAGTTTTGATATGGCCAAACCTGACTTATTCAAGATTGCATTCTACATTTGTGCACCGAAAAGTCAACGTTGTCAATTCGGAACGCGAGAAATTATAAAGTTTCTGTCAAATATAGGCACATTTCAACTTTTCGTAAAATTTGTTTCCGAAATTTCTTTCGCAATTTTTATTAAATAGTTTTACGCCTTTTACAATACCTGCTAATTTTTTTATGAATATGTTTGTAAATGTCGGAGATATTAAGAAAAAATTAGCGTACGCACGCGCTACAAAATTTTCCCTTTAAAAATTGGATATCAGTTTCGATATGAAATTTCTGCGAATTGGCTGGAGATAAAATTGCCTTTAAAAATTGGATATCAGTTTCGATATGAAATTTCTGCGAATTGGCTGGAGATAAATTTACAGCTATAATGGGTTACTCAAGATTATATTGACATTCAATTTTTTTGAGAAAAAAAATTCTAAGATATACTTTTTTATCTTTGAACACCGTCACGCACATGTTACACTCGTAACGCACTGTTACACACACATGTACTAAAAAAATTAAATTCAAAACAGAATGTTTTAAAAATGCTAGTTCTTATACCCCACACAACCATGTTGTCAGGATATTATAGCTTTGTGTGGCCCCAAGAACTTTGGTAAATCATTATGCAGTTATGGACGACATTTTTGCCTGTAAATTCGGTTCTAAAGCAACTTATTGAGGAAGAATGTAACATGTGCGTGACGGATACAAATTTGTTCGATGGAGATAGAAGACAAACTTTGTTTTATTTGAATTTGTCATCTCAAGATCCACACATAACAGCATTATCAAAAAAAAAATTCTCATATTAGAGTCTGTATAGAAACATATGCTAATTCTGTCACGCACGCGTTACATATTTTCTTACACTATTTAACTGCACTTACCAAGGGATTCTCTTGGTATATGTATAGGTTTATATATATGTAATTCTTAGTAAGATATTACTCTATTTGAATTTAATATTTATTATTGATATTGTTTTAGCTAACAGCGTTCACACTTACGACAAATGACACTCTAAAACTAATAAAAATATGCCCAAGTTACTCTCCACGCGAAAATGGTACAACGAAAAGAAAAACTACGGTTATTTTTCAAAATTCAACTAAAAATATATTGTCCGGATTGCAAAGAATATTTCATATATAATTTCATATCACTCTTAACGAATTGATTTTTCACCTGTGTGGTTGACCTTTTTGTGGAATTCGTGATATGTAAGACCATCAGCATTCCCGCCCATAACAATGCAGTTGAGACATTTGCGAACAACAAAAAGAAAGCAAAGGGACAACACATCCACAAAACGGCCGTCGATAACCTCCATGAGGAGGTCAGAATGATGTCACGTAATATTAATCCCACAAGGTATCCCAAACGTCCCATCAAGTCCTAAACATACTTCTGACATTTGGACAGTGTTAGGCCAATTGTTAACTACAACAGCACAATATCACGACAGAGGTTTCTACGATCCGAAACGGCCAGAGTCTTACTCGGCCAACGTATGTCACATCAGCCCTTTGTGTAAACCCTATAGGGTTACTACAACACCATCATCCTTCTTTAATTTCTGACTGCTGTTATGCTTCTTCCTTAGCAAACATTTTGCTCAACAAACTTCGGGATATGGCAATCTTGTTAATTCTTATAGACAATGCATTGATTTAGCTATCCAAAGTAATTGACCTCCTCTGCCTTCACATACATACAAATTCCTCCCTATTATTGTCTTTTATTTTCTGTCAAGAAGTTTTGTATTCCAAATTTAAAGCTTTGGTCATAAGGAAGCATTTTGCGTGTTTTTCTTCGGACAGCGATTGATGCTAAATCTTGAAATAGAGTTGGTCTTTATTTTATATAAGGTTTTTGATCTCAATATTTCAGTACTTACATTCCACAATAAAGGGAATACATGAATCCTTATAAGCTTACAGACGATCGATAATTATTTGATCAGACACTCTTCTCTGATCTTCAAACGATCAAAATTCTAATATTGCCGCTTTTTTGCCTCATTGTCTCTTTATTTATATTTGACAGGTCTGTCTTTCCATTCATAAGATGACACCTACGCATACTGTGAGGAAGAGGCATATACTCAGTTGTTTTCTATTATACAGAAAATAGATCTTGAAATATAGCTTTCCATAATTAAAATATGATTCTTGATCCCCAACCTTCCACAATTAACAAGCGTGGTTTTATATTTGTCGGGATCGGGATCGGGATCGGTGTTGAGAGTTTCTCTCTCAGTGGTAAATTGTGAATTGTGTTGGAAAACATTACCACAGGTAGGAACAAAAAAGTACGAAAAGGTATCTAAAATTCTACTTCAAATGATAATAAATTATAATTATGGAGAAATATTGGCCAATATTTATACCAGTTAGTTGCATAAATAACATATGATATAATTTAAGCGTAAATGTATTCACGAATAATAAAAAAATAAATTTTTGTTTTGGTACGTTTATGTCAATTCGTACCTTTTGTGAACAAAAAGTACGTCTGCTACAAAATTAAAAATAGCGCAACTCTAATTACTCTCAAGAGAGAGAAACTCTCAACACCGATCCCGATCCCGACAAATATAAAACCAGGCCAACAAAATTTGAAATATTGACCCATCAAATCTTCAAATTGTCCAACTGGTGAAATTGGCGCCTTTTTTTCCTTCATTCAGAGAAAAAATCTCTTACTGTGAGATTATGTTTTGCCATTTGACAGTTTTCTCGCACACAGCCACACACATATTAGCCAAGCGACAGACAGACACCTATGCATATGAAGTGAGAAGAAGAACAAGCATAATGTTATTTGTTTTCCTCTTTTTTATTTTGTTTGTCTACACACACTTCTCACGCTGCTGCTAATGCTTTGCAAAAAAAAAACAAAAATGTGTGTTAAAAGTTTATGCAATTGTGTGTGCGTTTTCCCGCTGTTGCCACTGTATTTATCAACAATAATGCACATAGAAGAAGAAAAAAATAACAACATTACACACTAAACAGAAAAAAGCAAAACAATTAATTGAAAACCTATATTGTATCAACACGTATCGCCACAACTGTGTGTAGTGGAGTATCTACGCGTCATAATATTGGTGGCATAAACAACACAGAGTCTGGCGCGCGCAATACCACCATATAATACATTCGCTCTAAGCAGAAAAAACATAACCCTTCTTCTTCTAGTTCAACACTCCCACCACCCCACTACTCTCCTCTCTCAACTAGTTTTTCATTCCGTTGAACAACACGAAAGAATGAAAACACACAACAAAACATTTCATACTACATAATCATTACTTTGTTGTGTGAACCCTGTGTGTGCGTGTGCATGTTTGCGGGGAAGGAAACCAATAACAACACCACACACAATCATACATCATCACGCGCGCGCTTTCTTACAATATGGTCGGTGTGTGTGCTTGGTTGCTGGTTTACTTTGCTTGCTTGCTCGTTCGCCTCCCTGCATGCCTGTCTATCTGTTCGTTGTTTGCCAGCCTTACTGCCGATCGTATTCATCGTATACTCGTCGTTGTTGTTAACTTCTGCTGCTCGTCTGTGTACTCTGTGTATGTCTCTAAACTGACAGCAGCAACAACAACAACAATAGCACACACTAGCAAAGCAACGACGATGACGACGACCACGGCCAACGAGAACTACCACGACTACCACAAGTACAGTCATATAAAAAAATTTTTATGTGTTGTATTTACATTTTTGTTTTGTATTGTGTTAAGCAAGCAAAAAAACAGAACAAAAAACACAACACACCGAATATCAAAATGAAAACGAATTGTAACCAAGAGTTCTATCTCAAACACGTCAAAACACAATCAAATCATTACCACCACTCCAATCACTTAACACTATTACTATGTAGTCTTTTTTTGTTATTAATTAGTAAAACTTACAGATTCACTGCTCACGGTATAATTGATATTGGGCGATATCTCCAATACGGAATCCGCTCGAGTATTGTCGGCAGCAAAACCCCATGTATAAGGACCAAAACTTTGTGTCGGATTACTTTGAGCAGCACACATCCTCAAGGCCTCCTTCTACGCTGTTCGTCGTGTAATTCAAACAAATTCAGTAAATGAACGGAAAAAAAGCAAAATAAAAACACACGCACGAACACGTATGAATGAAAACCAAAAGCCAGAAAAAACGAATAAAAACTCCGATGTTGTGGTTGGGCACAAATGGAAACGGCAACAAATTCTCTTCTTCTGTGTTTTTTCTTCTTCTTGGTGTGCCTCCTCTATCGAGGTATGCTTCGTATTGTATGTTGCTGGTGCTTGGCGTTGCGTTTTTTGTTAACAGATTTTTTATTATATTTCTCTTTTTTTCTATTCCAATAGATTATATTCTTCACTTTTTTACTCCATATTTCTTAGAGGAATATTTTTATTTTTCTCGTTTTGTTTTGGGCAAAATTATTAACAACGTATGCGCGAAATATTAACAAATTAAATTTATAAAAAAAAGAAAGTCAAGACATCATCGCAGCAGGCGCCATTTTTATTTTTTTCGTAACTTTTTCACTTTTTTCCACTGCGACGTTCTTTTCGTTCATCAAATCGATGATGTTGTTTTGTATTTTCACTTTTTATTTGATGCATTTGCGAAAATTGTTTAACATTTTCCACTAGATTATTTGTTTGTGTTTTCAAAACTGCACTTTATTGTTGTAATTGGGTTAAAATATCCACCAATATATGTATATATAATATGAATATAAAAAAGAATCAACACAATTGAAAAAATTCCTCAATTCCATCACTCTACTGACGTCGCCATTTTAGTTTAAAGTCATACACACACACGTTCACACATACACCAAAATTGCTGCTAAGGCGCATAGTTTGGCGATGGAACGCCGTCAATACACGGGGTTATGCGACGGAATGGCGGCGTTGTCTTATTTGCCATGGTACGCCGTTGTAATAGGCCGTACTGAAAGGAAAAAATAAAACAAGTGTGGAGATAATTTATAAATAGCATTTTTTCTAAATTGTTTTGGGCATTAAATAAAAAAATGTTTGTCTAGCAAAATAAATATATGTTAAACCATATAATTGTTAAATGTGTAACATATTTACATGATATTTCTGATATATTGTGTATATAACCCAAAATTAAGCTGTCTGGCCACACTTCAAATTATCTCAATGAAATAAATCTCACTAAAAATGTAATTGCAATCATACAAGCGATAAATATATGAAATATTATACAAATACAACCCTTCTTTAAGAATACAACGATAAACTATGTTTATATAAATTTATTAAAAATGTAATATATTTTTAAGCGAATTATGTATACATTATATTGTATTGGGGTATGGAAGAAATGGAGCTTAGAGTTATTTGAATAATTCCGTAATACTGCAAGATTATATTGATAATCTCTGAAGAAACATTTTTATTCGTTTATTCCATATAATATACGTCATAGTAATAAAGATAATGCAATTACAGCATTGCACTGTTAAATGTGAACAAGATTAACGTGACGTATGCGCGATGAAATTGACATTTGAAATCGAGTGGATTTATTATTATTATTTATTTTCAAAGACTTGTCACCAGGCTATCTAGCCCATTTTGTATTGGTACAAGCAATCTACACAACATTGATTCTTATGGCAAAAGTACATTCAAAAGTAATAATTAAATATTTATAATTAAACCTAAAAATTAAAATGAATATCCCAATTACGCAAATAAAAACATATATATGATTCACGAAAAGTAAGTAACCGATAAAAGTAGATTTAGTAGTCTAAACGTAGCTTATGCTATTTTTGAACACTTTTAACCGCATTTACATAAGAACTTTTTACCGGGTTAACCTACATTATGAGGATTTATTAGGCAAATATTTAATGGAATTGACAATTAAAACCCACTGGGTTAACTTAATTCGGTACAATGCAAATTATTTTAATAATTATATTTCGACTTTGTTCAATTTAAAACAAAAATAATTTGAATAAATATTAAATATCTCTGGCAACTTTACCTACTAGTCATATTTGGCAACGTAAACATTCTATGTTAACGACATCTAACACTTATTATAAAAACTAAAATTCATTTATAGATATTTGCTGGAAAATCTATATTTTATTTATTTTAATTTGAATTGAAAATATTATACAAAAGTCCTAACGATAAATCATTTATATGCATTTTTTAACAATTATTTAATATTCTTCGACGTATAATTTACGCCAGATTTTTCCCGCGTAAATCTAAAAGAACGCTAACGTATGCTTTAGATGTTTATCAATGCTGTCGGTGTGCCCAAACAACGCCGTTATAAAATAGTTAACTGACGGCGACGAACTTGTGTCTACAATTTAAAAAGAGGAGTGTTCACATGTTTGCATATATCGTTGGTTGGATAAAATATAAGACAATAATACAACGTATAATGTGAAGTCTTTGCCATACATTTCTGATAGAAAAATAACTTAAAGAAATGAAAGTGGAAGATAAAAATTAAACAAAATTAAAAAAACGGAAAATCTGATTGGAATTCGTTTAGGAACACGAAAAAAAGTTTTTTGCATTTAGAAATCCGATATTTTTGCTGATGAAAGCAAAATTAACTTGTTTGGCTTGGATGACCCATGTAAGGTATACCAAAGCACACAATTCCGACCGTAAAGCATGGAGCAGGCTCTGTAATGGTATGGGCTGCATGAGCGCTGCCGAAGTAGGAAATATTGTTGTTGTTTTTTTTTTTTTTTTTTTTTGAAGGAATTATGAAGAAGATTTTCGATTTAAACATTCTAAAAGATAATTTGAAATGTAGTCCGGAGAAATTGGTATTTGGGACAACATTTTAATTTGATCAAGATAATGACCCCAAGCCCCAGATTCCAGATCTTTCGAGCATCGATGGATGCATTCTACTTGTATATAATGATATACAAGTAGAATGGAGACAAATTCAGACATCTTACACGGAAAAACATTTGAAAATATATGCCGGCAAGGGTTGAAAACTGTAAAAGACAACAAGCATTCAAAAAATACTTACTTTAGTGGCTTGTGACAGAGCTGTTGTTCCATAAGCCGAGCTTAAAAAAGATTTCAACGCACGTCATACAATGTTCCGAGATATCTTCTACTTGATCTTTCCATCGAATTCTTAGCCTTCCCCTTCTGCGTGAACCATCAGCTGGTTCGCTTTTATATGCTCACAACATGGCCTAGTCAACGTAATCGCTGCAGCTCTATACGTATGACTATGTCGATGTCCGAGAATAGATGGTACAAATTATGGTTCATTCGACGGCGATACTCACCGTCGAAGCAGATCAGCCCATAGATCTTCCAGAGAATTTTTCTCTCAAACACTTCAAAAGCTGCCTCATCTGCTTGCGCAAGTATCCATGCCTCAGTTCCATACAACAGCACGGGTAATATCAGCGCCTTGCAGAGTGTGAGTCTGGCGAGAGGTGGCCTGGTTTCTGAATTGCTTACTCAGATCATAATAGCATCTGCTGGCCAACACTATTCTTCTCCGAATTTCAAAACTGATGTCATTAGTTTTATTTATGGCGGTAGCAAGGTATATAACATCTTTGACAACCTCGAAGCTGTAGTTTTAAAGTTCCACACAGTTGGTCCGAGTCTACTGGACGTCTTGCGCGTTGATACCATCAGCATGGACTTCCCGGCATTTACTGCCAATTCCATTTTGGCAGACTCCATAATTTGTTCAAAGGAGGCTGTTGCCGCTCGCAATGTTCGACCCATTATATCGATGTCGATCGAGTAACATGTGGTGTTTGGTGTGCATAGTGTCATATCTGTTCACATTTGCATCTCGTATGAAGATTTCCAGCAGGATGTTAAAAGATCGAAATAGTCACATTGTCTAAATCCTCGTTCGGTATGAAAGGTCCTTTCCGATTTTAACTGTTTAACATTGTGCCAGTTAAAGTTATCCTGTATAGCCATATTAATTTTGCAGAAATTCCTAACGCAGACAGAGTAAAAATCTAGGCTATAGTGGATTTGCCAAGTCTGAAGCCGTATTCGTATGGTCCAATAATGTCATTGACCATTGGCTTCAGTCGTTCACACAGTACGCAGTGGATAGCACTTTATATGAGATGGGAGGGAGACTAATTCATCTATAGTTGTCATATAGTTGGCACATATCTTGTCTGTTTTTTTGTGCACGGGACACAGGATGCTGAGGTTCCAATTATTGGGCATGTACTCCTCTAGCCAAATTGTACTAATCAGCTGGTGCATGCTCCTGATCAGCATCTGACCACCTGTCTTAAATAGTTCGGCTGGTAATCCATCGGCACCTGCTGCTTTATTATTCTTCAGCCTTAAGGCTTTGTATCATAAATAATGTGCACATTTTTTTAACCATACAAACAAAATGTCAAAAGAGAAGTAAGTTCTTGTTCAAATCATTTCATTATTTATTAATTTCACGTTTTTTTCATATATTGATTGAAAACTTCGTTTAAGCGCCACGAGTTTCGCTTATCCGAAGTCCCTTTAATTGAAAATTCTGCATAAGAGGACAAAATTACTTAAATTACGCGTTTTCGCTTAACCGAATTCGACTGTATAGATAATTGACCAAAAAACGTCATTCATTACATGTGAAACCCCCCCCCTCTTTATAAATATATGATCGTGAAAAGACGAAAAAAATCTATTCCCATTTATTGCATTAATCACATTGCAATGTCGTTTAATTGGTTATAATCCAATTGGATTTTCCCATTGCCGTTATTCCTAGCACAACACAAACAAATTATTTATGGAACACCCTGTGTTGCCTACGATAACTTTCTTTATAACTCTCCCTACTTCTCTCCCGCTCAATTCAAAACAAGACCAATAAAATTTATCGATAACACACACACACACACATGTATGCATGTGCGGGGCCTACAACTGTCAATTGCCGTATTATCCTTTGGAATGTCTTTTCATTTCCTCATTATAAGAATTACACGACACAGTACAAAAGAAATTGTTAAAAATATTTGTTATTAAAATTAAAATAAAAAGAGAGTTATGAAATAAATTAAAAATAATATATATATTAAAAAAGTTATAAAATTGTGTTATTTGTTGTTGTTATAAAGAAGGTAA